TCTTCCACCCCTAGGGCTGGCGTTTAACTGTTGGAAGCAGCACTTGGTGGGGGACTGGGGGCGACGAAGGAAGGGGGGTCTCTGCCCATGGGCCCGTGGTGCGGGGACACCATGGTGTCAGGACACCAGTAGGCATCCTCTCTGCTCCCAGGCTGAAGGGTAAGGCGTGCCCAGCCTGCCTGTGTGGCCCCCTCCGCTCCTGGTGCGAAGGGCTCTGGTCCAACGGCCTGCACCCAGCCTCAGGGTTCCTGGCCTCCAGCCTCCACCTCAGGCACAGTCTCTCATTGGTGCCAGCCAGGCCCCACCACCCGCTGCCCCAGCCCCGCTTGACTCAGGAGGTAGCAGAGGAGAAGCAGGGTGTATCTATGTGGCTTTGTTCCCCACAGCTGCATTTTTTCAAATATAAGTTTTGAGGGTTTTTTTTAGTCGAGGTCTCACTGTGTCACCCAGGTCCAAGTGCAGTGGCACAGTCACAGCTCACCACAGCCTCCGCTTCCTGGACTCAGGCAATCCTTCCACCTCAGCCTCTCAAGCAGCTGGGACTACAGGCGCACACCACCATGCCTGGCCCATTTTAACATTTTCTTTGTAAAGACAAGATCTTGCCATTTTGCCCAGGCTGGTCTTGAACTCGTGGCCTCAAGCAATCCTCCTGCCTCAGCCTCCCAAAGTGCTGGGATTACAGGCGTGAGCCACCGTGCCCGGCGGCTGTGTTTACTTTTTATTGATGGATTGATTTCTAAGGAATTATAAATTGCAGATGTCATAATTCACCCCAGAAAACTTAAGCACGTATCTCTGAAAAACGATGCTTTCCTCCGTGACCACCCACCATGATAGCCCACAACCCAAACATTTATTCCTTGATGTCACCTGAGATAGAGGCCACAGTCAGAATGTCCCTGTTATCCTGAAACCTCCTTGAACAAGGATCCTTTCCGGGGCCGCACCACATATGTGACTGTCCCCAAGTCTCTCTGCACCCCACCCTGTCATTCTGCTTTGACACTGACCTGTCCAAGAGACCAGACCCGTTGCCTCACCAGGTGTCTGCATGAGTCACGTCTGCTTCCTGGGTCACTGTTGCCCTGGCCCTCTGACCCCCGTGTGACCTGGGCTGACAAGTCTGCAAGGCCTAGGCCGGCCGGCCCAGCAACAGTTGATGCAACAGTTGATGCAGGAAGTGGAGTCCGGAAGGGTCTACCTTGAGGGTCAGAGGTGACGCTGGCAGGGGAGGAACGGGGACAGGACAGATTTTGTTTGGGGCACACAGTGTGCGGGGCATGCACAGGGCATCCAGGTGGCAGCCTTGAGTGGGCTCTCCCGAGTGGGGGTGTGAGAGGGAAGGCAAGGTGATGAGCCGTGGTGGAGTGGAGGGCAGTCAGAGGATGAGGCACCAAGAGCCGTGGTCCAGGGAAACCCAACAGGAGTTTTGTTTTTTTTTTTTAGTCGAGGTCTCACTGTCTCACTCTGTCACCCAGGCTGGAGGGCAGTGGCACAATCACAGCTCACTGCAGCCTTGACCTCTGGGCTCAGACAGTCATCCCGCTTCAGCCTCCCAAGTAGCTGGGATTACATGTGTGCGCCATCATGCACAGCTAATTTTTTTATTTTTTTTTTTTCAGAGACAAGGTCTCACTAAGTTGCCCAGGTGGTCTCAAATTCCTGGGCTCAAGCAATCTTCCCACTTCCACCTCCCAAACTACTGGGATTGCAGATGTGAGCCACTATACTCTGCAGGAAAGGATTTTAAGGAGCCAACCCTGGAGAGAAATCAGGCCAGAGGAGGACCAGACCTGTCGTTCAGGGAGCTGGGCTGGCCTTCCGAGCCGTGCACTGGATGGCTAAGTGAGGGACAGAGAGGTCTGCTCTGAGAAGGAGGAAAGGGGAAGGAATTCATTCATAAAGGGGGATGTACAGCTGGGTCCGGGGAGCACATATCTTTTCTTTCTTTGAGTTGGAGTCTTACTCTGTCGCCCAGGCTGGAGTGCCGTGGCATGATCCTGGCTCACCACAACCTTGACTTCCTGGGCTCAGGTGATCCTTCCTCCTCAGCCTCCCGAGTAGCTGGAACTATAGGCATGTATCACCATGCCCGAATAATTTTATTATAGATACAAGGTTGCGCTATGTTGTCCAGGCTGATCAAGAAGTCCTGGGCCAGACGATCCTCCTACCTCGACCTCCCAAAATGCTGGGACTACAGGTGTGACCCACCATGCCCAACTACTCTTTTTCTTTTCTTTTCTTTTCTTTTCTTTTTTTTGAGGAGGAGTGGGAAGCAGGATTTATTGAGAGGACAGGAAAGCTCCCAGAGTGGGAGGGGACCCGAGGGGGTTGCCCTTCCACTCTTTTTCTTTTAAGTCAGAGAGACCTTGAGTTTGTTGAAATGCCAGAGAGACAAAGGTAGTCAGGAGGGAGGGACTGGAGCCTTGAGGTGAGGCCAATATGCCCTCCACTGGGGGAAGGGAGAAGGACTGGCAGGTGCAAATGCAGCTACATTGGAGGGGTAGGCAAGGGTGGCTGCCCACTGGCTCTACGTTCCCGCCCCCCAGGCTGGCCCACACCTGTGGCCTTCGCTGGCTGGGAGGCTCCGTGATGGGCTCTGACGGATCCCTCCAGCCCCCGCGGCCCTGTTGGGCCTCTGCCAGCCGCACTTAGGGCACAGGTGGTGTGAGTGGTGCAGGGGCCCCACCCCGGAGGAGCAGGCCAGGCAGGCGGCCCCACGAGATCACCCCAGGGCGGGGGCAGAGTCCAGGCCAAGGGCGTCCCATCGAAACTCGACATCAGAAAAAAGCAGAAGCGCAGCCCTGCGTGTCCCACAGCCACAGTGTGGGAACCCAGGCCCTGCTGGGCTGTCCCAACCATGTGAGGGGCCGGCAGCTCCATTGCACAGCTGAAGAAACTGAGACCCAGCCATTCAAGTCAGCGAGGAGCTATGGCTCAGTCTCGCAGGACCACGACTCTGGACTCCTGCCCCGTCCTTTTTTCCTTTAAACCAACTGAAGCCTCCTCCCTATTAGCCAAGAGAAGACTCTTCCCAGGCCATAATGTGCCTCTATGGGCTGCAGTTGAATCGCCCGGGGCCTCAGCACAAGAGAATTTTGTCGAGGCCCAGCCCAAGTGGCCTGGTCAGCGTTTCGAAGGCCTGAACTGGCACAGCAGCCTCAGTGTTCAGAGGAGACCCTGTGGGGTGGATGCCGGTGACACCCAGTCTCTGGAGACCGTGTGACTGGGGAAGGCAGGGCGGCACCCGTCCTGTGGACGCGGTTGAGTTCTCCCGACAAGATCAGCCTGGGCGGCTCAGAGTGGGCGCATCAGCTTCGGAGCTGCCTCTGGGCAGCAGCACCAGCCTGGGTATTCCTGATAGGATGCCCCTGATGCCCTGCTCCTGTCCCCTTCCTCCAGTGAGGGTTGGGAGGCCAGGTGGGAGCCAGTCATGGCTGTGCAGCTGGCCTGTTTGGCCCTCCTGCCCCACCCCCTGTGCCTCTCTGAGGCTTGAGGGTGTGGCTGAGGGAGGAGGACCTGTCACTGTGGTCATGGCCTCCTCTCGCTGGGGGAGGGGAAGCCCAGTCAGAGGCCAGAGCCAAGTTCTGTGGCTGGGAGCAGGCTGGAGCGGTGTGGGTTCACCAGGCCCCGGGGTGCGGCCTGCTGGAGACCCCCAAGCAGGGTGCGGCCTCCCCAGGAGAAAGAGGCAAGCGGGAGGCTGGCTGCAGCTCTGCGAACCCAGCCCCCACTCTGGCATCCCTGGGCCCTGCCATGGGAGGGCCTGCGCGCCCACCTCCTCTCGCCCCTGCCCCACCCAGCTCCCCCTGTGGCTCAGAGTTTCTGGCTGCTGTGGGATTGACAGAAACTCTTCCTGTCTTGGAGCCTGGCTCAGCTCTCAGGTGACCTGTCTGTGTGTGTGTGTGTGTGTGTGTCCATGTCCCTAGCCTCGGGGTGGGGACAGGGAGATGGGTCAATGGTGACAAGCCTCTGTATTCCCCTCCTGCTGTCCACCCCGGGGGAAGGAGGGCTTTGCCTCCCAGGGTCTGGGCTTCTGGTTGGGCCCAGAGGATGGCTGGGCAGGGGTGGGCAGGGCACAGGGTCCAGCCTGGCTCCCGATGCAATCTCACAAGGCCTGACTCCACCTGGTTAGCCTGAGCACACGTGGCAGGACAGAAGGGAGAGTGGGGTCACTGAAATGGGAGAGTGGGGCTGGGATAGGGGTCAGAGCCTGATCCAGAAGGAAGCTGGCCTACAGGGAGGCGGGCGGGTGGGCAGGGGCAGCCGGGCCAAAGGGCTCGAAGGAGGAGCCGTGCACCACACTCGGGCAGGCCTGCTGTGTCCACTGTGTGTGGCTGGGGTCTGAGCACCGGCCTGCATGAGGGGGTACAGGGAGGAGGGGCCAGGAGAAAGACCTCTGGGGTAGGGAGGAGGAGCTGGTCCCTGGCTCCTCCCTTGGGTCCTCAGAGGTGGGGGAGGGGCACGGCAATCATGTCCACGTGGGAGGGCAGGAGCATCTTAGTGACCCAGTCTGGAGGAAGCGGGCCCAGGCGGGCAGGCGGGGTGTGGTCAGATCCCTCCTGGCCTCCACGTGGCCGGCGGGGTCCAGACTCCAGCTCCCCCGCCCTGCGACCTGGTCTGCCCAGACCCCTCCCTCCTCCCCCTGCCAGCTTCCTCTTTCCCATCCCATCCTCCCTGGGCCTTGGGGTGGGGAGTGATGGCCGCCAGCGATCCAGGGGCTACCCCAGGCCACCCGGGCAGACCTTGGCTGCCTCCTGCCTCACTCTGTGTGGTGCGACCCCCCACAGGCTCTCTGTGCACCGCATGGAGGCCAGGCGGGGCCTGGGATGGGCAGCACATGGGGTTGGCAGCCAGCGGAGTTTCTGGAAGTGCACGAAGCCCCCACCTGGGCCCCTCCACCCCACCCGCCTCACAGCACTTCCGCAGCCCTGACAGGAAACGCTCTGAGTCTCAGCCTCCCGCCATCTCAAGGCCACTTCTTGTTTCCCCATCGCCTATGCCAGCTCTAGGGGTAGCGCCCCTGGGTCCCACCCCCGGAGCCTTCCCAGGGCTCCATTCCCACAGCCGGAGGGGCCAGGATGGTGGACATGATCACCAACAGGCAGAGCCGGGCCCTGTGGGCACAGGTAGGGGACACAGCGGCAGGGCTGGCCAAGGGGGCTCTGGGGAGTGGGGCAAGCTGGGGTTCAGAGTGGGGATGTCAAGGAGGTCGGGGCTCAGCCCTGCTGTTCTCTTTCCACGTCACAGGCCCTGCTGGGTAGAGGTGGTCGGCTTGAGAGGCAGGCCTGCCCCTGCTCTGGGCAGGGGAGGGAACTGGGGACAGGGGCCAGCACAACCAGGAAGTGCTCAGGCCTGGCAGCCTGGAGGGGTGGGAGCCAGGGCACCCTTGGATACGACCCAAGAACCTGGGTGCCGTGGTCAGGCTTCTGTGTATGAGCCATGTCTGGGTCTCACCCGAGGCCACCATGAGCTGGGGGAGGGGTGGCAGGCCCTGCTGGAATCCCTCAAAGGCCCAAGGGCATGGAGGGCCGAACTCCACCTGGCCTAGGAGCTCCTCAGGACCCAGGAGATTCTTCCAGGAGCGGAGAGTGCCTCTGTCTTAGCACTGGGGGCTCCCTGGAGCGATCCAGACTTCAAAGGGCCTCAAAGATGCCGCAGTCCAGCCCCCTCCGCAGGGCCTCAGCCCCCTCACAGGGAGTGGACACTGCTTGCTTCTCTCCAGCACGGCCCCTTACTACGTCCCACGTCTGGGCAGCCCCATCCCCAGATGCTTCCTTCAGGGGGCATCGCCCTCCCCCCAGCATCCTCTCTGCCTTGTGATAGCCCCGTCACGCTGGGACCTCAGCTTCTACCCAGCACCTCTTCTGCACCTGCTAGGTGCTCCCAGGTGCTAGGTCCCCCTTCGCCCCTCCAGCCTGGGCCTCCCGTGGACTCGGAGCCACGGCCCGCAGCCCACCAAGGGGAAATCCCCACTCCAAAGAGCTGGGCTCCGTGGTCAGCCTGTCCACACTCCTCCATGGCCCTTCCTAGCCCTGCCTGGTGGGTCCAGTGGGGTGGGAAGGAGGTGCACCCGATCTCATCCACCTGCCCCTGCCCGCTTCTTCCAACCTGCCCCTATCCCCACCCCCTGGTGTGGCTCCTGATCTCTGTGGCTCAAGCCTTCCTTCTCAGGCTGTTCTTGCACCAAGCTTACCCAGTCTCTCCCCTGGTGTCAGGGGTGTGTGGGTGGGTGGGTGTGTGTGTGTGTCTGCCGTTGAAACTTGGCGTGGGATTGACTTGTGTACTCTGGCAGGAAGTGTTCTGGGCAGATCTGCTGTGTCTGGGGACAGTGATCTGGCTGCTGGGGTCACATGGGGTCAACTGCACCATCCTGGGTCTTGTTCTCAAGGAAATCCTGCCAGCCAGTCACGATGGTTCTCTCTTGTAATCCCAGCACTTTGGAAGGCTGAGGTGGGAGGACTGCTTGAGTCCAGGAGTTTGAGACCAGTCTAGGCAACATAGCAAGAACTTGTCTCTACAAAAAAAAATTTTTTTAATGGCCAGGCATGGCAGCATGTGCCTGTAGTCCCAGCTACTTGGGAGGCTGAAGCGGGAGGATGGCCTGAGCCCAGGAGTTCAAGGCTGTGGTCAGCCGTGATTGTGCCACTGCACTCCGGCCTGGGCGACAGAGTGAGACCCCTACTCAAAACAGGGAGAGTGAGAAAGCATGTGCGTGCCCCCTGCCTTTGGACAGAGAAGGTGGGTAGATGGATAGATAACTAACTGACCTCCAGGGCAGAATGCCACCAGGCCCTGACAGCTCGAGGACCGGCAGAGTGCTGCAGGCTAGGCCTCCCTCCGGAGAGGGCGAGGGGAGCACTGTGGAGGAGCAGGATTTGGGTGGGCAGGGAGCGAGAGCAGATTTGCAGGCAGAGGGGACGGCTGGAGCAAGGGCACAGAGGTAGGAAGAGACTTTTGAGTCCAGTGAGAGACCTGGTGTGCTTGGCTGTAGGGTACTATGT